CTTCTCAAATTTCGCCAAGGTAGTGATACCCAACGAGGGTGGCCTGTGCTTGTTGATTCATGTCGTCAAAGGAGTCAAGGGTTGGTTTCCTACGCCCGTGAATGATTTGTAGAAGAAGCGCCGGTGTGATTTGTTGGTTGATCAGCATGTTGGTTCTCGGCATCATTACTGAGGCCAGCTATGCGTAGCTGGCGTTGGAATACGGATAACATAGTGTTTTCGCTACTTCCTCGAGAGGAGTATCTAGTTGTGACGTTCACAGCGAGTTTCCGCAACATGGGTATTGATGTGGCCATGATTGTGGCTGATATCTCGGCACTCTCCCAGATAAAGAGGGTGCTTAATGTGTCTGGAAAAAAGGATCAGTCTGAGGTGACTTTCAAGTTCGCTCCTGAGGGTTCATAAATAGACATCAAGACTTACATATACTTCCGGAGTCGAATATACTGCGTGACTGCGGTCCGAAGAGATACAAAACCTTGACTATCCCAGTAGCTCCAGCGCTGTGAATGACGTCAATCCACAAAACCCAAACTCGAGTATTAATGCATCGGATGCGAGGCCGAAACTTACAAAATACCCATGCTCATAGCCACACAGATGCCAACACGTTCGCGAGTACTAAGATGAAGGGGCCATATGATTTTCCATGGTATCAAGGAAAGAAAAATGTCCAAGAAAGCCGAATATGCTAAAGGGGGGGCAGTTAGCCAGTGCAACCCTCGGTAGAACCCACAATAAAGGCAACATGAGTGTAGTCACCATTAACAAATATCCCAAACGGGACCGACATTTCTCGGGGCCAGCATGGCTCCGGTCCGCCAGGGCTGCATGGGTTGAGAAAGAATGGGAGCCACAGCGCAATGAAGAGGTTCATGGAGAAGATGATGAACCACAGCATCCATCGAAGCTTCCCCGTCATCAAACGCATGAGCGTGAAGGCGAATGATGTCTTGCTTAGCGCCCACGCTATGTTTGACATTATCCCGGCCGCCCCACTGATCTTGCTATACTTCGGAACGTTCAATATTCCCGCGAACGTGGACGCATTTAGAAGCGCGACACGGAGATATATCATGGCTGTGAAGAGAACCTAGATGCCGCATTAGATGAACAGAAGGGAACCGCGAGATTGCTTGCGCCAAGATCCGTACTCACCCAAGCCGCAAGTATGACATAGTCGTCCGTTCCCAGCCGCCAGCTTCTTAAGGCAGAGACTCTCGCGTAGATCCTGAGAGCAAGGAAGGTCGTCGCTAGGATAAAGAGGACTACCAGAGACGCGATTGCTTGTATGGTTGACGACGGTAACGTGTTATCCATGGTGTCCTTTCACGACGCCATTCTGACAGCGAGGTGATAGCCGTGGTAATGTCATGGGACATTGAAGAAGATGAAACACCAAAGGACGGTAGGTCGGATTTCGGAAAGACGGCGAGAGCGGAAAAGAAAAATGTTCAGTCACGGGCCACCAGACGGGGCCAACCTCCTAAGCTTGGACCATTGAGTCACTGGTCTGATTCTGTCCAAAAGGGAGGCAAGGGAAAAGCAAAATGTTGCAGATGATAGATCCCAAATTTATCTTTGGCTTTGGCTTGGCCGGTGATTTATAGGTGATTACTATGTCCGCCGGGTAAGACATTCCGGTAGTTGGCGTGATCCTTTGTACCCCTTCGGTTAAAACCAACACTTTTTGAACACTTTTGACTCGGACTGAATGTTGATACATGTGACATCGGGCGCCTTGTGGTTTCAAGGCTGGGCAGAAAGTCTGAAGGTTAAATCCCACTTTCTACTCTATCTTGACTTCTTTTCTGTCCGAGCTTCAGCGAACTGAGTTTGGAAAGTTCTCTTGCGAATTTCTGAATAATTGATGTGATGCTGTACCAAGATGGAGATCATACACGTCGTAGGTGCGGTGGATTTACGTCACAGTTGAAGAGAGAGACACTGAAGGATAGAACTTTAGAAGAAAAAGGTAAGCCTTTCGCGATATGTGTTCATGCACAACTCAGTGGCCTGTTCAGGACCATCGAATCAAACATGACCGCTTGGAATTCCGCAACTGCATGTGCGCAGGCCATATGGTGGCACAAGCCAGGGTTCAGAGTCACTTGACTGCCGGACTCCTTACCTGTAGCTCAGGCTACAGCGACAACGGCCAAGATGCTATGGATTGCGAATGTTCTGGGCAATGGGAGGGGATTGGATGCAGCTGCCGCGCAGGGAGAGACTAGGCCGAACCTAATGATCCTGTGGCGTATGCACATCTCAGTGAGGGTCTGAGACAATCCGCAGCATCACGTTGACTTCAGGTGATGGGAGTCTGGACCTGCGCCATCATACCATAACGGTTGGAGGATGTACGCCGTGCACCAGAGACATTGACAAGTCAAATTCAGCCTCTGGCAACTTGCTCCCGGTCAGCCTCTTCCGGAGCTATTGACTGCATGCTCCTTGCAACCTGTTTCTTACTACTAATACTCGTGCTTCGTCTTAGAGGGCACCAAATAAAGGCCCGCATGGCTTCAGGACAGCTTTTGAGTTGCAATACACCGCAGATAGCTTTAGAATGAAATTCTAGAAGGGCCAGAATTAACACCCCAATGATTTTCTCAACTTGCTAGCATGTCTGTTAAAGCCAACTGAGATTTCTCTAGGCGCCAAACATCAACGCTCGATTAGCTATGAGACCCAAATCCACTCAGCTGGGCTCTTCAATCCTAGTTTCTCACTAATGCCCTCTGTTTCTTGTGCTTTCTTGTTTACACTTTCCATTTCGAAGCCAGCCACCTTTTTATAGACCCGACCAATATCTTCCAATTCGTCCTTCGGGACGACATCGTAGACATTCTCGAAACCATCGGGTGCTCTTTCTTCGCATATTTGCAAGACGTGATCCGGCCCATTTCCACGGTTTGCCATGATAATCTTGGATGTGGCTGGCAACCGCTCCGACTCATACGCCTTCAGCGCCGCCACCACATCGTCTCGGTTCTCAACAAGTTTCTTCGCAAGAGTCTCCGCGTCGATAATAGCTTGCGATGCGCCGTTGGAGCCGATCGGGTACATGGCATGCGCAGCATCACCAAGCAAGGTGAGACGGCCGAAACTCCAACGCTCAACAGGATCCCGATCGCTCATCGGGAACTCGAAAACCTTCTCAGTCGCGTCGATGAGATCCTTCATCTCGAGCCCGCCGCACCGCCACCCTTGAAACGGCCCCTCAAACACAGATTTGTCGACTGCTTTTGTCCAATCCGTCTTTGGTGGCGTGAGATCCTCGTCATCCTTGTCTCGTATCCTTAGCTCGGCGATCCAGTTCACAAGACTCTTGCTCTTGTCTGCGGAACGCTGGCTGATGGGGTAGGCAATGAACTTCTGATCGGCGTGACCGGCCCAGACCATTGATGCTCCTGTGAGATACGGCTCACGCTCGATACAGCCGCGCCAAAGCATGCGACCCGAGAACCGTGGCGGGCCTTCGTTGGGGTAGAGGACCTTTCTCGCAGTTGAATTGATTCCGTCGGCGGCTATGAGGATGTGGCCGGTGACGCTAGACTGCCCTGCCGGCGCACCATCTCGCCGTTGCGAAAAGTCTGCTGTGATGCTCTTCTCGTCTTGTGAAAACCCTGTCAGAGCGTGGTTGAGGTTCACCGCCCCATCGCCCAGACGCTCTTTGACAGCACTCAGAAGCAGCATTTGGCATTCGCCGCGATGAACGCTGAATTGCGGCACCGCATAGCCTGCCTTGAGACCTCGTGGCTCACTGAGAATAGGATGGCCGTGGCGGTTGTAAAAGTTCAGTTCTTGCGTCTTGATGCCGGTCTTCTCGAAAGCTTCCAGCAGCCCGAGATTGCGGAGAATGAGAATGGCCGAGGGTGGCACGTTGATGCCGACGCCAAGAGTTGTGAGCTGTGACGCTGCTTCGAAGATGTGGATGTCTGTGAAGCCAGCGGCATGGAGGGACAGTGCCGTGGTGAGGCCACCAATGCCTGCACCGGCTATGATGATCTTGGGCTGAGGGTTAAGAAATGGCATTTTGCGGATTATTGAATGGTGGTCGTGAAGAAGCCAACTATGTCGTGGTTAGATTGACCGAGAAACGAGGAGTTGTTATCACGAAGTCATGAGGTTGGGTCATAACATAGAAAGTGCATACTAAAAGCCTCCACCGGCATCTTCAAGTCTAAGTGGTTCCGAAAGTCGGAATTGGTGGAGATTCATGACTGCCGACTCTAGATGCCGCGATTTAGCAAAATTTTGCCAGATCCACAGAAACTAGGACCACCGATGTGGTTTCGCTCAGCACCGAAAATCATGTTCTCACAGGCTATTCGTCGTGATATGATCACGAACCATATTCCCACTTTGAAACTCAACGCAAGCATTGAAGTTCGATCTTGTCGCTGGGGATAGCTCCGCTTCGTTCGCTTCACCCCGCACAACTACCCCAGATCACGATGCTTTGGCTCCCTTCTGAACCACGTGGGGACCTGGCCGAGGGGGGAAGACTCGAGACCCTGGTCCTGGTCCTGGCTCTGGCCTTGATCTATAAGACTAGCTAGCGGCCGAGGTCTGGGGCTGAAAGCACTCCACAAGAGATGATGGGTTGACAAAAGGCTCAGAAACACTTGATGAAAAAAAGTGTTTACGCTCTGCTCCGTCACGCCACAGGATGATATGAGTTTAGCCCCACCAGCTTTGTACATTCGACGATTAATCGAGTGGTCGGGTAGATTCTTTTGCCTAACTATCGTTAGTCACTTCATCCTCACTACAAGCAGGATGCTCCCTCTTGTGTTGATGTATAGCGAGGGCATCACAGCAAACGGCCTTTCCGCTGATCAGCCAGTCTCGTGATACGTGGGAGGAACGGCTCCCATCGCGTGTGTGAAAGAAGATAGACTGTAAAGAGACGAGACTGCCCACCTTCTTAACACTCAGCAATTATAGCACATAGCTTGACGGCTGTAGGTCAAATTAGAGGCGCACACTGAACCTCACATTGTCAGACCATGAGGAAGATCTACGAATATCATACCCCCAGCCCAGAGACTAATCTCAAGCTCGACAACTTCTCCGCGGCGTAATGCTTGCGGTGCTGTAGGTGGATGATACACGTACGCGGGTCCCATTAGCTCCTTATATGTGTCTTTATCAAGGCCCTCGAGCGCCTCGTTTGCGATGGCGCGACGCGATGCACGAAGACGACCGTTGGGTCCAATGTAGCGCCTGCATATGGTTCGCCTGTGTCAGAGGACCCTGGAGCGTATGATTTCTGACTGTGAATGATGAATGAAGCAGGGCTGTGACTTACCAAATGTTTTCATTAGGAATATCGCCCACTGTCGCGCCCTTTGGGAGGTCTTCCATGGTATTATACTGGTGCCACAATCCTTTGCCATTCTTGTCGAGCTTGCGTAGCATAACGTAGACATCCTGCGGAAGTTCGTTAAGATTAAGCACTTATGATGTACGAAAGCTCACTTGATCCGCCTGAACGGGGAAACTTACCATATCGTCATGACCAATTGTTGACATGTACACTTTGGCCTTCGATACACCACAGAGCTCGGTGTACTCCTCGAAGGTGTGGACGAGCGAGCATCCATCGTCAGAAGGCGAATCCGCTTGATACTCAACCACGCTCTCAGACGAGGGCTTCCGGTGCTCCAGAGATCCATTCGTCGCATCAAGGAACAAGGTTTCGTACCTGAACTTCGCTGGCGGAACCGAGCAGCAGGCTGATTGAATACGCTTGGACGGTTGAAACCAAGCAGCGAGTATCGGATCCTGGGCGTAGTCTCCCAGCCATTGTTTTGATCCAGCATGTACTTGTCGAAGAATCGCTGCAAGTCATCGAGATTCTCCTGCTGGTAAATGTCGTGCCATTCTTGAGTTTCAGTCCAGCGCAACCTTTTGCAGTGTCTCGGAAATTTAAGTAGATGACAATACGCCTCATCCCTGACGGAAGAAGTACCATTTTTCAGATGATCGAGAGAGCTGGAATCCTCTGACTGATCCCTCGATATGTAGCCCATTTGAGAAGCTGGCAGTTGCATCAATACATCGGAATAGTAATGTTGCGGAGCTTCGGCTTCTTGTCTTCCCAGTAGTCGTTCCAGGTACCATACTTGACGTTCTCGCGCATCCCAGGTCCTATGGAAGACTTTACGTCGGAGAAGGCTCGCAAACCACACCCACATGAGGAGCACACAACGCTTACCGCATGCCCACCCCATCGACACGTCCCAGAAAGCATGGTCAGGAATGCCACCGCGACACATAGACTCCCTATAGGAGTCTCCGAGCCCTTCCCAAGGTGCCATGTAAGTCAGATGAGGAGGTTGTTCGGCAGCGATGAACCACTGCGTTGTCGCAAGCCACAAGTTCCCGGCCATGGCAACCTTATCATTGCACCAAGGTTGTCGCGCGGTCCACTTAATACAGTCATATCCGTCATAGCCTTCTTGGGTCCCGTACACGTAAAAACCGCCGCTGGATTTGAACGACCAATACTCGTCGCAGAGCGAGGCACACCGACTCTCCACGGTAAAATGTCAAGCTGCAGCAGACTGGTTCCGGTCTTACCATATGGGCTCCATGGTATGATGGCTAGGATCGGATGTCAGCGGACGAAAAATGTCAGCCAAGAGCTCGACACCATCTCGGAGCTGAATGCGGACATCCTTCTACCAGACTGTATCGACCGCGAATGCCATACGGCCCGCCTCTTTGGTCCAACATTTGGCAATGATTCGCCTCTCAGAAGGGCCATAGGCAACCCAGGTATTCTTTGGCTCATGTTGGAGCTCGGTAAACAAGACAGGTACAGAGAAGGGCTGTACAGTCTGTGACATGGTGTTAAGTTTCTCGGATGTCAACATGAAATGATAACAAGAAACTCCAGGGGGATGAGAGAGCTGTGCAACTTTCCACGTATTGTAAAGTATACTAAGTACTAAGGACTCCGCAATTCCCCAGATTCGTTTTGCGGTGCTCCACGGATGGGCCCCCCCACCCCCGCAATCGGAGGAGACACGCCGGGCTCAGGTCAGAAGTAGGTGTAAGCAAAGATGTGCTGAAGTCTTTGACTTGTGATGAAAGGAGCCCCCGAGAGGGGGCGGGGAAGGGGGGGGGGGGGGAAGAGCGAGCCTTGTGCTATTGTCGACTGCGATGCGAGGTGGCTTGGTTTTATAGATTGTCCAAACAGCTCGCTTGAACCGTACAGGATTCTCATACAAGCCAGAAATATGCATGATTTTTGCACATCGATCAGTTTTTGATCTCAACCTAGGAAATCCAGGATTCGCTTGCGAGCTTGAGCTGTGTTCAGTTACGACATTGAAATCCATGGGTAGTGGAACGCCACGCGGAAGTTGTTTTAGACTGTATACTGGTAGTCTAGCGGCATATCGCCCGTAATAATGAACAGGGACTTTAACTTCCTTTTGCCAATAAGGCAAAGTATTAATCCTCTGCTGTTCAAACTCAAGATCTAAGTCCTCTTCGCCTAACACTAAAGAGTACTTTCTGTGGCTTTACAAACCACCTGTTAACAGTCTTCAATTCCCCACTGAGACACTTAAACTCATACCGCCTGACTAGCTCTGGGATCAACTTCACCATCTCCAGGCTTGATATATGCTTCCCTATGCAGGTCCTCGCGCCCGCTCCGAAAGGCAGGTAGTACTGCTCCATGGCCGCTAACGTCTCCGAGGAGGCGTGTTGGGGATCCCACCGTTCTGGTATGAAGTCTGCGGCGTTTGTGCCAAAGACTTTTGCGTTCCGATGCGCTACCCAGGGATTGATACCGATAATTGTCTGTCCAAAGCAGTCAGAACAATTTTTTGCGGCTGTGCCATGTTGAATAAGGCTTTGAAGACTTACCCCAGCCGGAAAATGGGTTCCATCGACGTCCAGACCGGACCCTACGACCTCGCGCCACATGGGCAAGCCGACGGCTGGATGGAGTCGCAGGGCTTCTTTGATGACCATCTGGAGGTACGGAAGTTGCTGGGTTTGGTCAAAAGTGATGTGTTCATCGAGGCTAGAGCAGAAGCCTTGAGAATCTAGCTCTTCGTACATGCTCTTTGCGACACCATTTGTGGTGAGAAGATGGTAAATCGCACTGGTTAGAGAAATGCTCGTGGTGTCACTTCCAGCTGCAACGTTTCCTGTCAAAGTAAGCGTTCGAACACGAAATCTTTCGAATTCCTCCGGGTATTCCTTCTGTAGTCGTTGAACTTTTGTCAGGAAGGTCTCTCCGCCATGCTTTTCCTTGATGTCGATATCATCGCTCTCGGATTGGAGCTTTCGCGCAAAACTTGCGATACCACGAATAGGGTTACCATAAAGGACGAGAAGTATGGGTAACAAGACGGCGTTGACGCCCGAAAGTGTACAGAACGCGTTGGCGTCTTCTAGACCTCGCATGATGCCGTCGATATCTTGTCCGCCAGATTCCAAGAAACCTACTCGTCTGCCGAACTGTTATAAGAGTCAGAAAATTGATGCAATCGGGCAAGTAAGCGGACCACCAAACTCACCGTGATCTCACCAATCACATCAAATGCATAGCTCTGCATCCACTGCTGCATGTCAAACGTCTCTCCACTTTCGGTGAACTCGTCGAAACGCTTCAGAAGAAGCGCAACACAGCTGTCAACATAGGGCTCGTAGGACTTGATTGTCGACATGGAGTACATGCTGGCGACTTTGCGGCGCATGAGGCCGTGCACGGCGCGATCGCGCGCGCTGAAGAGATTGTGGTTCAGGATGCGAGGGTCTCCCCAGGCATCGTACCATCCGCTTTTTGGCAAGGGAGATGAGATACCATAGATTACGCGAGCCATGGCCGGGTCATCAATGCTGTACATGCGAGGCCCGATGCGAACGATTTTCCTGGCTTTGGTGGTCATTCAGCAATAGGCCAGGAAGTGATTAGAGCCAAAGAATGGTAGCCACTTACAGCCAGCCTTATGTGCTTCGATGTCGTACGCCTCATACTTGCCCTGCCATATTTTCCAGATGTACCATGCATCAGTCCATCTGGCAAGTGCAGGCCCGTACGCTTCAGGGAGTGAAAGACATGCAAGGATGTGGCTCAGCAGCCAGCTGATGGCAAGGAGCGCGAGAGAACCAAAGAGCACAAGAAGAGACATGGCAATTTTTGCTTGGAGATACTTTGTTTGGAAACCTGTAGTGTAGACCAAGCTTATAACGTACGGTTCTTGGGGAATGAGGGCGTGGGGAAACACTAGTGACGTTGCAGGATGTGGTGGGGTGCCGAAACTCTCATGGTAAGTGGCGGTGGGGTAGTTGAACTCTCTTGTAGAAGACAGTTAAACGCGGGGTTGAAGCCATGTCGTGAGAGTTCTACAGCATACATTAAAATAGTACAAGGCGCAATTCTAACGAAGCCTGTCTATTAGTAGTCCATGTTTTGGAGGCTCACTTGTGGTTCAATGACTATGTAGGTTGGGGAGTCCTAGCTGCCCTCTCAAGTTGAAAGATATAGATAATGGTATTTGCTACTTGCTATGGATCCTATTTTCGAGCATTCACATCTTGCTGGCGAGCTTTCTCCATGTGAGGATGGCCATAGAATACCTTACCTTCAGGACCATCCAGCGTTGCCGCCTTCTCAATCTCCTCGTAGATCTGACCGTTAACAGGCGCTTGCTTAGCCGAAAGGAGCTCGAAGGTCTTTTTAGCGCGGTCTGCCTTCGATGTAGATGTCACGACAATGCCATCAAGTCGGTAGTATGCCCAGCTGAGCAGCAGATCAGCTGTGGACAGCCTCGTTTGCTTCGCCTGCTCTTTCAACTTCTGCAACAATGCTGTGCTGTCTTTAGTGGGCAAGCGGCCGCTGACGGCTGTCAAAAGGCCATAGTCTGCGCGGCTGTCAGCTTGGGAGATTTATTCCCCAGAGACTTAGTTGATGGTGTTCATACTCATTGGGACAACGTTGTGCTTGATTTCGAACTCGCGGAGTTGCCGGACCTTGGGATCAGACAGCAAGAAAGGATTGAACTCGTATTCGTTGAGCTGTGGAGGGTGCTTGAGGTCGCTGGCGTTGAAGATGTCATGGTAGTCGGGCAAGGTCCTACAGACTCGCGCTCGTGAGCTTTGATCGGGTTACACCCCATCGTTGTGTTATTGACGACATACCAATTCGATACACCAATAATGCGAGCAACTCCCTCATCCTTGAGATCTTCCAGCACATGCCATGCATCGCGATTGGTCATGTTCCCATCATAACCGCGGGGCGGGAAGTGCAGCTGTAGGATGTCGACATAGCCCTCTAGTATCCCAAACCGCTCAATCTCCTGCTTTACGGCCTGGATCATGTGATCGCGGCCTCGACATCCTAGGGATGCGTAGGTGTTGATCTTAAGGGATAGGAAGATCTCGGAACGTTTGAGATTGCTGCGGCGGAGGACTTCGGCAAAGCTGTCATTGTTGGTGTAGATATCACCAGTGTTGAAGTGACGGAACCCCGCGTCAATCGCTTGTTGAATTTCGACGCTGCTGTCCGTAGGAAGTGGATGAGTGTGGCCAGGTGCCCACTTCATGAGGGTTCCCACTCCGAAGCATAGGCGGGGTATCGCTATTCCTGAAATGCTGATTGTTGACATGGCTGTTGTGCTTCTCGAGACGCCAGATGCGTTGGATGTTGGCGGCACACAACAAGCCCACGTTCGGCGGGTGGGTGCTTTTACGGTGAGGAGAAGAACATGACGCCGTTCTAGGTTCCTTGCTTCATACGGATGCCTCCGCATTGTGGGGTATTCCGATGTGGTGTTGTGCCGTCCCTCTAGAGCAATTCTACAATGTCACAAGACGGACCTCTTGGCACAGGCAATAATTACTTCAAAACAGACCTCATGGCTTCCTAGATGGGAAGAAACGTCTCTCATCATTCAGACTACCGCGATTGCTCGTTACGCATATAAGTCCTTCATTCACTTTAACCAAATAAGCCACGATGGCTTCGTCTCAGTTTCTTCCTCACGAGGGCAAGCATCGCAAAATTCGAGTCGCCATCATTGGCGCAGGAATCTCTGGACTTGCCGTCGCCAACGGCTTGCTGAAAGACCTAGCTGGGAGATTCGATGTCCAGGTCTTCGAACGCGACACAATTGCATTCAACTCAGAGCGTGGCGGGTATCAGCTCCGCATCAGCGCCAATGGCCTTAATGCTCTGAAGACAGTCTCCGACCTTGAGCTCTGGTCATTGATCCGCGAGGTTTGGGCCGGTGATCAGGCGGAAGCGCCTACCATTGTTGATCCCGATACTTTCGCGGTTCGTCTGCGCCTCGGCGATCTCAAGTTGTATCCCAAGAGTCAAGCCATACCTAGAAAGGGACTGCGTGGTGCTCTTCTACAGCCATTACTAGTTCAAGGGCGGGTTCACTTCGACCACACCTTTGCACGCTTTGAGCTGATGCCGGGTGAGCGATGCGGCGTGCAGCTACACTTCGATGGCCAGGTTTCACAGGAGGCCGACATTCTTATCGCATCAGACGGCAGCAACAGCCAGGTCAACCGACAGGTTGGCCTTAACAACAAGATCAAGCTAGACAGCATGACTTTGATCCAGTCTCGCGGCATCATTTCACGGTCCGTACGAGATGAGCTGCCCAAGTCGCTCGTTGAATCTGGCTCGGTAATGTTCTTGGGCGGCAAAGATGTTGCTGGATTTGCATCCGTCTATGACCCCCAGAAGGACCTAGATACCAGCGGCACAGAGTCATACACCTTGTTCTGGTCGGTCGGTATACCGAGAGCCCGAGGAGACGAGCTGATAGCGAAGGCCGGCTCGAACCCTCAGAAGATCATTCCTCACCTTATAGATTACTTCCGAAACGACCTTGGCTATGGCAAACCTTTAGAACTCATCATGCGATCAGCGACTGAGGCTGTCCGGACAGGCCTTGTAACCAGCTCCGTCAAGCCGAAGACGGATTGGCGAAACGGTATTGATAAGAATTCGCGAGTGGTTCTGATCGGCGACGCCGTGCACCCCATGACGCCTGGTCGAGGCATGGGTGCAAACCAGGCGCTGACTGACGCCGCCAATCTTGTTGAACTTTTCCACCAAGCAACATTTGAGCAGGACGTGCCGTCTGATGGGGAACTCACCGCTCTAGCGCGCACATTCGACGCAGAGATGTATACGCGGGCGTTTAAGATGGTGAAGGCCAGTGAGACCGTGACTTCGCTGGATTTAACGACGTTATCGGGCAAGATGATGATTACTTTCGTCGGAATGGCTATGACCGCGATGGGATGGTTTGTTTCTGCCTTAGAGACTATTGGCTTGAAAGCCGAAGTGAAGGTAGACTATGTATCGCATGAGAAGTAGTGCATGTAGGTGATCTGTATCTATTAACTGAGCCGGTGTGCTGATAATCGCAAAGGACGTTATGAATGTAGCGTGACAATGGATTTGCTTTACCGACTCCTTTTTGTGATGGATATCCTACCTAGGAGCGAGCACCTGCTACACATATTGTTGAACATTCTCCGCAGCAAACGGGGAACTTCGCCGCCTCATCACCGGAAGCAATGGCACGGTGCTTTCGACGTCTCCTTGCACTGTCGTATTGTGTGTTAATTTGTTAATAAGGCGAGTTCTTTCGTGCGGAGTCTGCTGCGCAACACAAAATACGTCGGGCCTGCGATACTCAACGTAACCTCCGCTTTCTTGATGCATTGAAAATATTGTTAGCACTCCCTTACTGTATACTTCAGCTATCCAGGGATATTTGCAATCATGTCCAGCGAAGGAAATAATAGAGTTGTTCCTGTGATTATTATAGGTGGCGGCCCAATTGGCCTGACATGCTCCAACTGCTATCTTTGCGAGGCATCTCAAACAAATTGTTCGAGCGCCATCCGTCAACTTCAATCCATTCAAAAGCGTGCGGCATCAACCAGCGTACGACTGAGATCCTTCGTGTCATGGGAGTAGAGGAGGAAGTCTACGCAATTTCAGCGCCGGCCGAGAAAGCCGGACGAACCGCCTGGTACACCTCGCTCGGAGAAGAGGGGAAAGAAGTGTTCTCCAGAGATGCGTGGGCAGGCGGCCAGTATGCAGCGAAGTACGCCCAACATAGTCCGTCGATATGCAGCATTCTGCCGCAGGTAAATTTGGAACCGATCTTGGAGCGACGCGCCGTGGAGCAGAATCGTCATAAAATCTTCTACGGGCGTGAAGTGTTGACGACAGAAGATCACGGCGATTTCGCGGAAGTTACTGTGAAGAACCGCATCACGGGTGACGTTTCCCGACACAGAGGGACGTATGTGATCGTTGCGGACGGCAGCCGTCAGTTCGCAAAATAGCTGGGAGTCGACTGGAGCGGCGAGGGTGACCTCTTGAATATGATAAGCACACATACTCGCTCTCCAATTAGGGACCTGCATCCCGATAATCGCAACTTCATAACGTGGTTCACAAACCCGGCGATAGGGGGCAGCACGCTCATCGGCTACCTTTATCATCTGGGGCTTTGACCGGAAGCGATGGCTAGTCCGAAAATAGAGGAATGGATGTTTGTCTGCGCGCAGGCAGCGGACGACCCGACCAAGTTCGATGTTGAGACGGCACTGGCTCGCGCGAGGAGGACCTTCGGCATACCGGACCTTGAGATGAAGCTGATCTCCCTGAGTGAGTGGACGGTGAATGCTCTTTACGCATCGCAATGGCGTGTCGGACGCCATTTCCTGGTGGGCGACAGCGCTCACCGAACTCCACCAAGGGGCGGTAAGTTGCAAGTAAACCACGCGCCTCTGATATGACATGATACTCAGACAATGCTGATTCTTGAAAAGCCCTAGGAATGTACTCTGGCATACAAGACGCAAAAAATCTCGTGTGGAAACTGTCCATGGCCCTCAAGCGGCCGGGCAGGCATCATGACAGTCTCTTGAACACTTACTACGAGGAGCGCTAAGAGGTCGGAAAACGAGTCGGGCAGACCAGCCTCAACAATTTGCGCTCTCACTCATGTCAGATCGATCGTGTCATGGGTGTTAGCGCGTCGCAGAGTCAAGCCGAGAACCTCGCAGCAGGTGCGGCATTCTTCGACAAACGACACCCTGAATACCCAGAGAAGCAACGACTTATCTAGTTGGCACCACAAGCGTTGGATACCAAGTTCAAGGCGCCAGGGTACGAAGTAGGCTGGCTCGACCCAAGCGCAGACATCAACTCTGAGGGTAGAGCAACGTATGGAGGACAACAGCCGGCAGACGGCACACTTGTACATCACACGTACTACATGTCGACGATTCCAGGGCATGATCTTCCCCATGCTTGGGTGACGCGCGACGACAGGACAGTGGCGTTACGTGATATCTTAGACCTGGACCTACTGACCCTATTTGTGGAGAACACATCGGAGAAGAGGATGGACGACGACAGCGTGAAAGTGGCGATTGTTGGACAATATGGATGGCGAGCCAAGACTGGGCAATGGGAGAGATACCGCGGTGTAGAGAGGTCCGGCGGTGTGCTTGTGAGGCCCGACGGGATTGTCGCTTGGCGAGGATCATTGGCACAAGCCAGAGACGAAGGCTGGACACGGCTTGTCGACAGGATCCTGAAAGTTGTCTAGGTAGTTACAAGGGCGGCGTTGGATGGGATCCAACAGTGTCTGCAAAGCCTGGAGTGTAGGATAAGTTCGCCTCGCGGTGCGGAGTTGCGGGGGTCCCCGGGCTTGGTCATCAGAGGGTCTGTGACTCCAACCTAACTATATCTAGGTGGATGGTTCGGATTCAATCCAGACGTCAATCTGAACTATAGCTTGCTTTCTTCTCCACTTCACGGCGTTGACAGGCAAAAGCTTCAGCATGGATGCCACAATCGAGTGGTTCGGTGAGTTGCCGCCACATTTAGTGTCTCTTAGTTGCTGCCGAGGTTTGTGAGGCTCATTAATCACCCAGGTGCTACCACGTTTCGCGTGAAAGCCAACGGTCTCGTCATCTTCTTGGACACATGGCTGGAGCGCCCAGGTGTTCTGCCCAAAGTGTTGGCTATCGACGATGTGGATGAAGCGGATTACATCTTCATCTCCCACGCACATTTTGATCAGTGAGTATCACACTAATTCGCATTGCAGTCACTTAGATTTGTCCACAAACCCGACTCACTAGGTGTTCTTCAGTCTTCCCGGAGCCGATAAGATCGCAATCAAAACCGGAGCGCATGTTATTGCTAATGGCGAAGCTATCAACGTCCTTCGGTCAGCTGGAGTGCCCGATGGCCAGTTGATCCCGGTATCTGGTGGCGAGCGCATCCCTCTTTTTCCTTTCAAGTGCCGTCAAGCTGCAGCTCGCGGTGAAGTTGACACCGCTCCTGGGCCACCAGGCGCTCCTCCGGCTCCGGATGCTAGATTGGCCGCGACCTCCGTCCATGTCTGGCCTTCACTACACTGTCTCATGCCTGGTGGCTCGCATGCAGATGTGCCTGCGATTATGGATACAGGCAAGGAGTACATTGGAGGAGCAAGCCAGTACGCTTGCACACTGGATATCACATTCGGCATGAAATACGGCCTCCTCAAGATTGGCGACCACATGTCTCGCGATGCTATGGACTCGGGCATGCGCTCTTTCGTCGACTACGTCAACGGCCCGGCGAGGGAATGCATGTCTCACTTTGACGGAGGGCAGCTAATGTACAACTTCCTGTTCGGGGAGGGCAAGACACTGCTGTGGAATGGACATCTGGGCGGGTACGATGGAATATTGAAGACGGTGCAGCCACAGCCAGACGTGCTCATTCAGGCAATTGCTGGGCGGGCGAACTTGAACGGACGACCGTTTGATGGATCTGCGGCGCAGTTCGCGGTGCAAGTATCGAAGCTTCTGGGAGAGCCGAACAAGGTGATCTGGTGTTTGCACGATAAGGCGCCGATCAAGCCGTGGACGGTGGATGTAAGCCCAGCTACGCAAGCGGTCGAGAAGGAGACGGGTTCCAGGGTGACTGCACTGCAACTGGGTACATCGGATATGCTTTTCTGAAAATTGCAAAATGAAAGTAACGCAAAGAAGTCAGATCGCGGCGTCAAAGCAGTTCGCTATACAATGCCTATCATAACGTCTCAGCGTTAACGACTCCTTGACATGGCTTGAGGCAGTTCGATCTATTGATGTAAACGGGACCGAGCTTGATTGAGATGGCGAATTGAGTCCCGCCCACTGTGACATTCGCGAGTTGCGGTGGCTGTCGGTAGAATGCAAGACGGGAGTTACTCATCGGCATCCCTCCACCCCCGCGGCCCCGCCGCCATTCTCCACATATTTCGGGATCCCCCACCCCCGCCGCCGCCACCGCCGCGATATTTCGGAACCCAACATTCCCCATCTTGCTCCGCAGACATACCGCGATTCCACACCTCACTAAATTGTTCAACATGCGATCGCGTACCTCCGCAGTTGCCAATCGAGGTAGCAATGCCGATAACGAAGGCGCTGCCGACGGTGTCGGTGACGGCAACTGCCCCTCATCCTCCCTCACTTCCTCCTCCTCCGCCTCCGCATCACTGCCATGTCCCGAATGCGGGCAGACCTTCCGTCGGCGCGAGCATCTAAGTCGACATCTGGACCGCCACTCCGGCCTTCGTTCTCACACATGCAGTATCTGTAAGAGAGCCTTCTCTCGAAGGTGTGTATCCTCCGTGTCTTGAACACGCTGTCTGTAATGTCTGTGACTGACTTTCAGCGGGAAAAAGGGACACCTTGAAACGGCATGTCCGTACACATGGGACTGCAGTCCTCGCTGAATGGACGCAAAACAACGATGATCATCTCTCACGAGACCAACGTCGTGCGTGCGAAGCCTGCGCCAAAGCTAAACAACGCTGCGATGGTTGCAGGCCAGCACCTTGTACCAACTGTACAAACAAAGGTCGTCGCTGCTCTTACCAACCAAGTTTAGGCGACGACGAGACTATCCTCGTTGCGCAGCCTGTAGCCGACGGCGACGTATTCTCTGCCCTTACTCCGCCACGTCAGCACTTGCAGCCTATTACTTCGCAATCTTGTGTCTCGGACCAACCTCCGCTTGAGCCAGACCTCCTATGGGACGTCCTCTTGACCCCTGCCCAATTTCTATTTCCTTTCTCACCGGTTCCTTCTCTCGGAGTTGGGACATCAACAGAATTTTGCTTCGGAGACACCGCTTTGGCTACCGTCGGTGAACCTGCGGATGACCAGAGCGTGCAGAATAGCTTCGGTGCAAAAGCAACACCAAGAGTAGGTGTGGAGGCCGTTGAGGTCTTTACTGGGCCAGGCAACCTGACAGCGGAGGAGGAAGACATCCTGATCGCTGAGTACATTCCTCATGTACCTCCCATGACGGCAGAAACGCGAGCATACATGCTCCAAGCCATCAAAGCCCGACTGCCACAGCACGAAGCCCAAGGGCTTGACGCCAACTTCCCAACTTTGCGACACCTTGATGCATACATGCAATTGTATTTTGAGCACTTTCATCCGCGAATGCCCTTCTTACATAAACCGACATTTCAGGCGTCACCCGAGATGTGGCAGCTGGTACTCAGTGTGGTGTGTCTTGGCAGTCGGTACTCCCTAGCGCACCACCATCACGATCATGTTCTACTACTGCAGCGAATTGCCCAGCACATGCTGAAAAGAGATGTAAGGCCCATCATTGAAGCTTTTCTCATGACATCGTACTGATGTGACATTCAATAAATTGCAGACTCGAGAGCTATTGAACAATGACGTTTTGACCTGTGCGCAATCCCTATTGTTGTTCCATCAAAGCCAGTGGCTCTCGGGTGAGCGGAGCATTGTCATCGAGGTGCAATTCTACCGGAATATCCTCGTCACCCTTTGTCGCCAATTGCTGTCTCGAGAGGGCACTTTGATGCACACGCATACATCCGCTGAAGACGCGAACCACACATGGTCCCAGTGGATACAAGCCGAAGCCAAACGCCGGATCATACACTTCATTTGGAGTAAGTCATCTTCGCTGAACCACCCTCGTGCTACGAAACTTACACACAAAAAGTGTCGGAATGTCTCCAGGCGACATTCTTCATGCTTCCTCCTCTGCTCTCAATTGCTGAGCTGCAAACTCCGGTGCCCACAGCTGATGCGTACTGGTCATCGAGTTACGAGCAGTGGCACCTTCTCCCGCCACCGCAGCCTTCATCAACTCTTTGTGCTCTACTTGCACGCGTTGGTCTCGGCGATGTAGTGCCGGCGAGTCTAGAGCAGCCGGCCAAGTCTACAATACTGCTCTCGGCCATCGTGCAGCAAGCTGCCGAGAGCGATCTGCTACGAGCTATGGGACTCGGCTCTGTCGGCAGTACTGCTAATCAATCTGGTCTGGCTCTAGGAATGGGGACGATGCTCTCCCAGAAAGCCTTCGATGCTTTATCCCAAGTAGGATGCTCTCAAGTGTTGCGCGAAACGGACGCCGGCACCAACTCGAATGACTTCGCCTTGCTCTCCCGAGTTCTTTCCATTTGCTCAATTACACCGTTGCGGCTACTCAACTCCTACGGCAAATGGCAGACGACAGATGCAGGTCACAGCAAAGCCCGGTCCGAACTGCTGGACATCATACCGCAGAATGTCGGCAGAGCAAGGCACTGCTTGTACTACGCAGCGCAGGTCCTTCAATACTTTCGCACTACGAGAGTCGCAACAGTACTCGACATCCTTGGCGTCTTGATCTGCGTGCTCTACATGGTGGTGTACGCAGATATTTTGGAGCAACAAGATCCTAATTCCGCCGGAAGTGGGGCCAGCACCAGAACGTCCAGTACGGAGATCATCCGACTCGACCAAGTCGTTGACGAAGATCTTTTAAACGGCTGGTTGGAGGTCAGAAATCATAAAAGACCTCACATTACCGGGGTAGGTCTCCTGCACAGCGGCCGCAGCGTGCCTCGTTTGTATAAAGCAGCGTCGCGGATTATGGCAACCGGCTCCTCTGTCTCGAGGATGGCTAAGGAGATCTCGATCATTCTCGAGTCGCAAGCTAAAGGTTATCCTTCAGACCTTCTAGATCACCGACAAGACATACAGAGAGCGATGTGAAGCTGAGTTGAGTCACAACGAAAACCACGAGGGCACAAAATGAGGCAAGGCACGACGAGGTAAACCACAACTTGATACCAAGCATGTGTAAACGTTTCCTGGTATCTCTTTTACGATTTCAGTGGGCTAGAACCTGCTAGACTGAAATAAGTGGCAGCGAGCGCAGATGTGTGGTCCTCGGCGGCACAATCGTCGCAGGCCATGTCGATGAAAAAGGGCACCTTCCGTCTCAGGTCGTACCCAAAGAACCGATGAGGGTGCCAATTCCAGTATTTGGTCGCCATGACATATTCCTCGCAATGTCTCGGCAGAAGAATCATCCTTCGACCGCGCTTCATAATTCAGTTCTTCGCATCTCGACCGCGTCCTTGTATGGTTCCAAAGACATTGCATGGTCCAAGCTGGCCGGAGTTATCTCCGTGGTCTGTTGTGTATGGATTTTTAACGTTATATCTTTGCTCAGAATTGTCACAGGGGATCGTGATCACTTGGTCGTAACAAGTAAAAGCCATCTGGGAAGAGTCCACGTAGCGGCCAGGTCCTGGCATTTGCAGTATGGGAAGTCGATCCTCAGTCTCTGCACTTACCAGCAACACATAACCGCTCTGCGTGTCGTATTTCCCCACAAATTCAATATCTATCAGACTTCCGGTGGAGTTGTACGTGATGCCCCTTGGCCGGTCGGTCCAGTCAAGCTTTAATTCCCAAGTCGAAGCGCTGGATGTCAGGTCGATGAGTCTCAGTTTCGGTCTGTCATTTAGCAGGGCTAAGTGAGTCGCGTTCGGTGAGAAGCTGCCAAGGACAGCGCTAACATCCGGAAATTCTTCCGGAGCCTCACTCATTGGAAGCGTAAGGGAAGGAAAGTGCCACAACTGAAATCGCTACGTGTTCATCCGACCGTCAATGATGCCGATATACGAGCCACAAGGAGAAAAGGCCAACAATTTGGATGCCTGAACTGGCTCTTCGTCCAATTCGCTGTATGGGTATCCATCGGTCTTCGACAATGATTGACCCGCTGGAGGGCCTTGCATTCCGTATATAGCAAGCTCATTTGGAAGTCCAATCGCCAAGATCTCACTGTCTTTGCTCCAATCCAATGCAAGATCGGTGTGATCGTGTTCCAACTGCGCCTCGACAATAAGACGTGGAGCCCTTGAGGGAGCAGAAAGGGGTCCACCCAGGTTTCTGCTATCCCAAACGCTCACTTTCCCTCGGCTAGAAATAATCGCAAAATTTGAACGATCAGGTGAGGGTGCAGCATTCCAAAATCTCACAAGTTCGCTCGCATTAGAAGTGCAAGAATAGGCTTGCTGAATTTGAAGATTAAGGGCTAAGAGATCAATATTGATAATTCGAACCAAATCCGACTACTTTGTGGACATGGAATTGCCATCAGGGGAAAAGCAAATACCTTGAGCAAGTTCAGGTTGACATTAAAATCGGGGCGTCTCTAGATGATCCCTTATTGCCATTCGGCAGTCGTTATCAACGGCTGCTAGTATCCCGTTTCGACTAACTGTTGGGATGCGATACCATGGTGAATGTGGTAAATGAGTGTACCCGCAGTCACCAATCCGATTCAAGTCCCAAACCCATGCTCCTGTGCGAGGATCTGTTATACTGTTGCTGCATTCAATTATTGCAAACAGAAAATTTTCCGGGGATATTGTGAAATCGCCGAAGCGCGCTTCAGCTGGCGCCTGGATTTGGCGAAGGCATTGCCCTGAATGGGCGTCGTATACCCTCAGATCGTTTCGCCACTTATCTTCAATCAAGGCTACGAAGTTACCATCTGGTGATTAAGATATGTGATGAGTTCTTCGCGCCTGACTCTGCCACTGACATGCTATGTTGAGTTCTCCGCTCAGTAGACACACTGATCCATCATCGAGCGCGCAGAGCATGCGTCCGTCTGTGGATACGGAGAGAAAGAAGACACCAGAGCTGGAAATATCTATAACTCTTTCGCGGCTCTGCTCAGAGTCCCAAAGCAAGACTGTTCCTGAGGTCATCCCTATCGCAAAAGTACCGTTAGGGAAGAAAGCCACCTGCGTTATCTCCGCATTTGCGTCATGACGCATCGCCACAGAAGTTTCTTTCGCTGCCATCCAAACGTTGACTTCGTTCTTCGTAGCTATGGCTACCTTTAGACCATCCTGAGAGTAACTCATGGCCTCAACAGGGGATTCACATCGATGAAAGGTTCGTGAAATTGAATCCCACTCTTGAGCAACTTCAGGCCTTCTGGTGACCCATTGGGGGACTTCTCTCAGAAAAGTCGTCTAAATGACCGAATTTTCTGGAGAGAACAGTATAGCTGAAGAATAGATTTGACATGGGGCGATGTCGATCACTCCTTGATATTCAGCCAGAAATCATTGTGCGTCCAGTACGAAGTCCGCCGCTGCGCTGCTGCCAGCGTTGGGAGGGAAGAAGAGCTCTTTCAAAACAAGAATATCGGCAATAGCTCGTTCGTAATGCCCCATCCAGCTCATAGCTTCAATCAAATGGAAGAAATGCCGACTGAGAAGGTCATGAACTCTAGATATTCTTTGTCGGGGAGACTCTGTCTGGGCTAAATGATGAACCCAATAAAGACAGGCATATTCCAGACGCTTGTGAAAGAATTTCTCGACGACCTCGGTGGGGATCTCTTTTCGCAAGACAGTGTGGTCTTTCAGCCGACAGATATCATCTTTCAGAGAAAGCTCTTTGCCAGGCTCATCCATCATGACTCGCAAGCAGCAGTCAAAAAGCTGGCCATGTTCAGACTTCTCATCCACCCAGAATTTGTTTTTCCCACTCATCTTATCGAGGACGTACTCTCGAAACGACAAGTGGAAGATTCGGATAGGTTTTTTGGAGTCAAAGTCTTCTGGAATGCTCAACCGACTGTAGGCTGTCCAGATGAGGACTAACTTCATCTTGATCAGCATGAAGTAGTCAGGAGAGAGACGGGATCGATAGAGTGTCTGCCAGAAGAACGACAGAGCCAACGATCAATTCAAACTGATCAAGCAGGTCTTGCTGTTTGAAATCGTCTAGATCAACCAAAAATTGTTCCAGAATCGGCTGGTAGGTGGTTGCAATACCGCATGTTGTCTTGGCGCTTTGGCTATGGGATAAAAGCTTCTCTAACTGTTTTCAAGGGCTGGATTTTCGCCTTGGATCGTTAACGAATTTGCTGATATTTGCAGCGTAAATGAAGAGAGGAGTAGAAGTGTCAACAAGATGTTTGACGATACTTTCTCCTGGCCAGTCCTGCGAAATCCCATAGGAATTTCGTATCTCTTCAAGCTGAGACTTTATAAAGACTCTAATGTCGTGATCGATAACGGAGCGTGGTATTTCGTGAAGTGCCACGTCTTGATGCAAGCCCTCAAATACATCTTCCCGGAACCCAAACCGAATCGGAACCTCTGGCCGACTAGTGAGGAAAACTCGGACTCTCACTTCCGTAATGGCTACTAACTTGGTAAGCTCCTTAAAGAGCATCCGGCTTCTATCCTGTCCAGGGGATTGAATGTTTTGGGTGCAACATTCATCTAGCGCGTCGATGACAAAGACAAGCGTTGGGACTGAGAGTTCATCAAACTTCAGTTCTTTCAGCGGTCTCGATATCTGTCAAGAAAAAGCTCGCACCATGGTGGGAGCACATGCAACCATACAGCATCTATTGCTCCCAATAGTTTCATCTTATCTCGGCATGTGTTTGAATTGTGGCTGACACGGTATCAAGACTGCCTTTCTGTCAGCCGCAAGCTACAACTTGATCAACCCCTTTGTCGGCACTTTGACGTAAGCACATCTTTTCATCCTGCACTGGTGTTGTGAGCAAAGCAAGCGCATGCTCGAGTCCACTTTCGACCTCATCGATGTCGCCGCCAAAAGAGAACCGAAAAGGACAATTACCCGGCGACAACATCATTCGCCCGGATGTACGACGTAGGACACCAAATGGAGGTCGCACTTGCTACAACGGTCGTACTTGTGGACTGCTGCATGTTTCGGTACGTTTGAGCCACACCCTCAAGCATTACACAATGGATAATAGCAGGCGTTTCATGATGAAGGCTTGCGATCATTTCCTGGACCTGGATATCACTTCCTATCTACATCTATCAATGAATCTGATTATTGGAAAAAGCAACTGGAGATCCCATACCATCTATTTGAGAACTGAGCGAACATTGCTATTCACTAAATTGCTAGCGCTATTTGATAACGGAAGTCATCTCTTCCATAATCATGTTTTCTATGACGCAAACAAGAGAGTGAGTGATTTAAGACCGGCCCACAGCACTTCGGCAACTGCCTTCCTAGTCCATGTTTGAAAGCTGACTATCTCGTATTCGGCGTGACATTTCAAAGTGATACGATGTTGTTAACCGGCGCAGCCAGCATCAACTTCAATGGTGAGTTCTACTTACACAAGGCAATTCAAACCGAGTCGCACCAATCTGATGTAAATGAGAGTGTGTTCAACAGGTACAAGCACAAACGCAACACTCTGTTGAACATTAAAACAATTTCTCGGACCTCTCTGCCTACTGCCTGTTTCCGTTGACCGGTTGACGGCACGGAGGCTTTCGGGACTCCTAGTTCCAGAACAAACTGACGGACGGACGCTAGACTTTCTATTCCAGATTTCCAGAGATGGGGGGAGTTCCGGGCCACACGTATGTGGATGGCGTGGGGAATGTCCCAGACGCAGAGAAAGCCACGCAGAAAAGAGAGACGACTGAGGCGCGAGGCGCGAGGCGTAGGAATTTCAGTCTTTGTCAACAAATCAAACGTGGGATGATGGGGCAGTGGAGGCGGGCGCGCGGCCTGCCGCTTGTCATCGTATTGAACTCGAAAGTGAACGGCGGCGCGCCAGATTAAGAGATTCCAGCACGTCTGCGGCTTACGGCAGCTTCAACGAATGCACCGATGATTGGGGGCGCCAGGCTAAATGTCTCACCATGGGGGTACCACTGACGTGCGCGCCGCATCACGAAGAGTCATTAGAGCCGCTTCCAGTTAACCACGTTCCAAGCCACACCCGTTGAGCTAAACCCCCAACGGAGAATTTATGGCACGGTGTTTTGGGATATTCCTTTGTGTTTACCCCCTATGGCTGTTATTCTCCTATACCTAAAGTAGGTATAATGTCGCCATCATACATGTTCAAAAGGGTCCCCTCCCTTGCACTTGGATGTTTCTCCCTTCCACCCATGTCCCTTGATGGTGATAGCGCAGCCAGCGTCGACGCAAGCAAGTGATTCAGAAACCAACAGAGACAGACAGAGAAACAGAGAGGAGAGTTTAAAGATGTCGAAACCCCAGGACCGCCATCATGATCACGCCAATGGGCAGCACCACGAGATTCCCAAAACACATCTCAGCACCATGGGAGGCCACCTCGTCGCCGCCTCGGGCGAGTTTGTCGGCACCTTTTTCTTCCTGTACTTTGCGTACGCAGGCAACATTATGGTGATCAAGCAGGGAGTTTCCTCGGCCGGTGATGGTACGCTGAGCAGTGAGGGCGTAGTCTTTATCGCTCTGTCATACGGTCTCTCTCTGCTCGTCAACGTCTGGACCTTTTACCGCATCAGTGGCGGTCTCTTCAATCCTGCGGTAAGTGCATGCATTTTCACGGGCGCAAAACACAGCCTGCCACATTTGTTGAGTCGCATGCTGATGAACGAGACTAGGTCACTCTAGGCCTTTCTCTCGGCGGTCAATTGCCATGGATGCGGTCCGCTTTCCTCGTGCCGGCCCAGATGCTGGCCGCGATGTGCGCCGGCGGATTAGTTGAAGCCATGTTTCCGGGCCAAGTTTCGCAGGCAAACTCCCTGCTTGGCACTGGGACGTCTGTTGCCCAGGGACTCTTCCTTGAGATGTTTTTCACCGCGCAGCTCGTCATCGTTGTTTTCATGTTGGCTGTGGAGAAGTCTCGCGATACCTTCCTCGCACCAATCGGTGTCGGACTGGCTCTGTTCATGATTCTCATTCCAGGTAAAATGACCTCTCTTCTTCAATCTCACTCGAAGCACGGCTGACATTGCAATAGGCGTCTGGGTTACTGGCGGTTCCCTTAACCCCGCCCGCAGCTTTGGATGTGCCGTCGCGGGCAGGTCGTTCCCCAACTATCACTGGATCTACTGGCTTGGGCCATGCATGGGAGCTGCTCTCGCATCTGCGTATTACCGGTTTGTGAAGTGGGCTCACTACGAAGAGGCCAACCCTGGCCAGGATCTACCAGCAGATCCGAAGGACCTCGCTGCAGCTCACCCGGGAAACCATGGACTACCTCATAGCTTGATACCTCATCGCCACGAAGTCTGATGACGATTAGCACCTGTATAATTAATGGTCCTGCGGTATCAGGATGGCATATTGTTCTTGTCTGGCGTTAACATGGCACAAATAATTAATTGAGAGACGGAAAACAGCATGAGGCTGGTAGTTTACAGGATTAATAGCATTATGAACTCTTTAAATGAAGACGGGATTCCAATTTTGAGTATTATCAATCAGCCATAGGGACCGGTTTCAAACTGCTTTACAACTTTGATCGAAGACTTTGTTTCGACAACACCTCCGCAACATCATGCGCACCACCACCCTTGCTAAACATTTCCCTCAAATCCTTGGCCAATATCTCAGGCCTCTCGTGAGCAGCAAAATGTCCACCATCACCATGTGTGACAGCAAAAACAACGGGGCCCAACGTCTTGGCATGGCTCATCGGCGGGACAATCAGGTCCATGGGGAAGATGGACAACCCAAGCTTCACCCGCGGAACCCACGTAATGTGCTCCGTGTGCGGCTTAGGGTGCGCGACCTCGTAGTAAATCCGCGCGCTGGCCTCGGGCCCGGCCGTCGAGAATTGGTAGATAGAGATCCAAGTCAGAAGCTCGTCATCGGTCCATGGATATGAGTCAGTCCAGTCATGCAACTTCTCAAGAATCCACGATAGTAAAGCCACGGGCGAGTCGGCCCACGCAAGTCCCAAGGTCGCGGGCTTGGTGCTTTGCTCGAGGTTGTATCCGCGACCCTCTCTCTGGAACCATTGGCTTCGCTCAATGCCTTTCTTCTCCTTCTCAGAATAGGGGAAGAGGTTCTTGATGTACTGTAGCGGATTCTTGAAGAAGGATGGTGGGCTGGCTGAGACCATATTGATATGGGAAGCGAGGACATGGTCTGGGTAGAGTAGGCCCATGAATCTGGTGATTCCGAAGCCCCAATCGCCTCCTTGAGTGACTACTTCATTGTTAGCTCATATTTCATAGGTGTTCAAGCATGCACACTCACCATACTGCTCGTAGCCAAGCTTTAGCATCACCTTGTGCATCACCTCGGCGTACTGAGGTAGACGGAAGCCTGGTTTGTCCGGACCCTCCGAGAATCCGAAATTGGGAAGTGACGGTGCCACGACATCGAACGAAAGACCATTCTTCTCCGTCGTCAATAGCGGGAGAATCTTGAGGACCTCAAGGAAGCTACCAGGCCCTGGTGTCAAGTCAGTCATTGGCAAAATACTCGTGAAGAATGGACGAGGTGGAACATACAGCCGTGAGAAAAGAGCAGTGGTACAGCTCCAGGCTGCTTGCTCTTCTGGTGGACGAAGTGAATTTCGAGATCGCCGAAGCCATCCAATGAGATGGTTGTCGTGAATTGCGGCAACTCATTCAGCTTCGCCTCTGCAGCGCGCCAATCGAAGCCATTGCGCCAGCGCTCGGCCAGCCTCTTCACCTCTGAGACTGGCGCACCATAGTCCCAGCTTTCGGTGAGCGCAGACTCTGATGGAAACTTTGCGAGGTCAAGCTTGGCGTGGAGCTCCTCGATCTTTGACTGTGGGACCTCGATCTTGTACGGCTTGATTTCAGACGCCATGGTAATGGTGTGGTCTTGTGTTTTGACTCTTCAAAGCTTCGACTTGGAGTTGCAGCGTGGACTCTCGCTAGCTGTAGATAGTGTCTGGAGGTGTGTCTTGTTCAATCGCTGCTGTGTTGGATGCTTTAATGAGGCTGGATAGGTTGGATTATCGACGATGTTTTATCCTGATGTTCAACAAACACGCCCTTATTTGGACGATCCGGATGTGCATATGGCGTCACATTCGAGTGGTAGTGACTTGCTAGAGTCTTACTAATCCATGTTCACTGTTCCGGTGCCCCTAATATGCTGCGTGGCTGTTTTGTTACATCGGGAATGAGCGTGAGGGGTCTCCGAGGTCCAGCACGGTTGTTTCTACAGCGCTAAAAGCACCAAAGTCCCAAACTCACTCACTGATGGTCTTTGAGGGTCTGACATCATGGATGAGCCTAGTTGGCCAGCAGTGAGATCGTCGCATTGCAAAGGCGCGATAATGACAATCAACATGAAGGGCGTGCTGATAAATTGAAGCATTCTTACAAATGAAGCCTGTTATCATGTGGTTGGACCAGCTCAGGACAATTATGCGATGAATTTGATGCAGGAGTGAAGGCATGTGCTTGGACTCACTGACTCACTGAGTGTTCATTCACGGACTCTCACCTCAACTAGACCTCCAATGAAGGATACTTCAGTTATATGAGCGAAATGGCATGTTTCTGGTGGATAATAACCTCAACGGCTCATTGTCAATCTCTTCTTCTCAAAACATCTCATACAGCATCACACTCTGCTAGCTCTTAGATGGTCGTAGCGCACAACGGCTTCAAGCAGGGCTTGCGTGCCATTCGCGCTGCAGCAAAGTTAGCTCACACTTCTCACGATCCGAAGGGCGCATCCACTGACCAATCTTCCGGACTGCAATACTCCTCAGGGTGATGGCTCACACCGTCCTTGCAAGGGACGAAAATCATCGTCGTCGGGCACCGCTTGCTTGTGTAAACGCTGTCATGACCCGCGCCGCTCGTCAATGGCAGCCAGCCGTCCGGCCCAAAAAGACCAATCGCTGCACTCTCCACGGCCTGGATGCAGTCCTTGTCAAACTTGACTGCGGGCGAATCGGTATCGAGCGTCCACTGCATCTCGACCCCGCGTCCATCATCCACGGCGATCTTCTCAAACGACTCGATGCATCGCCTCTGCACCTCCCCCACGACTGCGTCTTCAGGATGACGAATATCAAGGGTGAAGGTAACCTTCGAGACGATGGTGTTGGTCGACGAGCTGGGCGGGATTTTGAGAACACCTGTCGATGCCAGCGCCCCGAGCTCCTTTGCGATGGCGTTGGAGGAAGTAATCATCTTTGATGCCGCGAGTAACGGGTCTCTGCGGGACTTCAACGGCGTGGTGCCTGTGTGTGCGTCGCGGCCCGTGATGGTGAAGGTGAACCAGCGATACGCCTGCGCGCCCTGCACGACGCCGATCTTCCTGCCGTTCTCCTCGAGGATGGGGCCCTGCTCGATGTGCAACTCAAAGTGCGCGCCCAGAGGGTAACCTGTTGATGCGTCGCTTGAACAGGTGAGGGGACCGATGTAGCCGTGTCGCTCCAGCTCAGACTTGACGGTCACAGAGGGGTCGAAGATGTCGCCCAAGTCCCAGGCCTTTTCCCGCGGGATTTCACCTGCCCAGACGCCGGAAGACATCATTGATCTCGGGAAACGAGCGCCTTCCTCGCTGTTACCTGTCAGACATGCAACGACCTATTCGAAGTGATGATTACACTTACTTGGTCCAATTGACGATGCCAACATCGAATTGCGTGCTAAAGTTGTTGTCCTTTAGTGTTCTCATCACTTCTACAGCGGCCAGAACGCCCAGAATACCGTCGTATCTGCCACCGCGGGGTTGAGTATCAAGATGGCTCCCCATGGCTGTCATCGGAGCGGAAGACCTGAGCGACCCTTGACGTTTCGCAAACATGTTTCCCATCTCGTCAATTGCAAGTTCACAGTCAAGGCTTGCCACCTCATTAGCGAACCATTTTCTAACGCGAGCATCATCGTCGGACAGTGCTAGTCTGGCCATGCCCGTCTCTGTCGCACCCCTGCCGTCAAACTGGTAAGCATGTAAATCGACTCAGTTATTGCATGTAGTGAGAATGTCAGTGCATACTTTCCGTATCGATGCGCCGCACCCCATTGACAAGTATGATGAATCGTCTCTTGAAGCCGGTCGGTGTTGATCTTGAGTCCAGATAAGGAACCCCGCGCGGTTGAGAGTGACCTCACCTGGCAGGGAATGGACAGTACGGGTCTTAGGCGGGCAATCATGTTGAGAACGACTGCTGCTTAGAGATTCAAGAAAAGATTAACAAAATCACTACTTCGTGAGAGCCAATGAGTCTCGGTCAATTGCAAATGGGGGCAGACGCATTTGGGTTGATGTAGGAGAGTGAAGAGAGATAGGCAAAGGCGTTGGCCCCGGACCTTGTCTCCGGAGAATGCGCCCGAAACCGGGGTATCGCACCGGCGCAGCTTCAGCCGTTGGTGGAAGCCATTAGCAGCTATGGTTGTTCAGTTGATTAGCCGTCGTTCACATCCACTACTTGTCATTTCCCTACGCTTTGAACGCCCTTCACGACAGTATATATGGATCCAGGATCAAGAAATTGGCTGAGCCGGGTCAATTTCAGTCAAACTCTATGGAGCATGTTACAGGCTAGCTACCGCCCTATTGTGACACACCGACAGCATCCGGCCTCCGCGTCTCCATCAGCCCCATTTCTACCAAGAACGGCAGTAGATCGAGCCTCTTACTCATCGTTCAGTCACATCCCCAAGATTGCGACGATTCCTGCGCAAAGCCTCTTCAGCTCTGAGTCGCGATCGGTCGGCCAGCTATCGCAGTTGCCGATGAACGGACAAGTATCCCAGTCTGAGAGACGAAAGCCGCTGCGCCAGTGTACATCGTCGGCCCCGGGATCTTGTACGTCCCAGTAGGTGATTGGGAGATGTCATAGACCAATCCATCCTCCGCCGCTTGATACAAGTCCATGGCAGACGTCCCAGCGGGTTCGTCGCTCCCGCCGCCAGTAACCTCAATGTTGACACACTGGGGATAGTGCTGCGCGCCTTGCCCCGGATACCTAGCGAAATGGAGGGCAATGATCTCATGCCGAACTACGTAATAACCCGGCTGGATCTTGGGCGGAACTTGCACCGCCCAAGTCGCATTATTGCGGATGAGGATGTCGCTCGCCCAAATTCCCCACGCCGTTGCAAAGCTCGTGGCATTGGCACTTGGATCGACCAGTCCGACCTTGTCAATCGCAAAAAAGGTCAACTTTGTCTTGTCGATAGACTCGCAGGATCCTCTGTCGATGCCGCAGAAAGCAAGATACGTGACGACGGGACCGTGATGGGACTCGGGCCAACCTTGCCATTGAAAGTCAATCGTGTCGCCAGCAACCACGGGTGCATGGCCCTGAGCGTTTTTTGCATTAACATGACAGACGATATCAGGTTTACCGTAGCTCTCGGTGCTAATCCAGCCGTCATTCTCGACTGTGGTGCTCCATGCCGCGAGGATGTCGGGGTTCGAGGATCGTGTGTTGAAGCCTTGGTAGGATGCACCGTCAATTACGAAATTTGTCACCCGGCTGTGAGCCGATGCTAGAGAGACGAACACAAAAAGAATTGCTGGGGCGGGAAACATGATCATCTTTCGAGGTAGCTTCGTCGGTGGTGGCAGCTCACGAACTGCCACCTGGTGGGTGCAAGTGCAACTCGAATTGATCATATACGCAAAGTATCGGAGGCATCAGCCTGAACCTGCGAAGAAAATATTCCCGGGACACCTCACTAGGCTCCAAGAAAGCCAGGGCCCAGCAATGGTTCCGTTCATATCGAGATCAAGTTGCTGTAACGACGGAACGCGATGGTAGACAAAGGTGCAGAACCAGAAGTTCGAACAGTGCAGCATCTAGCCGGGATATTGCAACATATTAATGTATCTGGTCGATCGCCAAGCTTTCAAGGTCATGTTGGCGGCGGCTGTCCGGGTGAAGTCTGATCGTGGAAGCTAAACAAAAGTACCTTAGTTTCTAAATAAGAAAATAAAGTAGTCTAGTCTGAACCGTACCCCTTGAATCTCGGAGGATCATGGGATCACGTCCCTTTCGAGATTGTCTCCAAGCGCGGATGGGAGGGCGATCGACATCCAGCCAGCGTTACCCCACACGCTGCATTTAACCTTCCGGGTGTGACCCCAATCATCCCAAGGTATCTGCACATATGCTTTCTGTCCTTTGTTTGTAAAAGTATTCACAATGGCACGAAAAGGGGCGCACAACTGACAACACAACAAAGATGATGTGGAATGTAAAAAGAAATGGACGATCTGGGAATCGAACCCAGGACCTACCGCATGCTAAGCGGTCATTATACCACTAAACCAATCGCCCAGAGGATGTTAACAATGCGATTCTCTCTTGAACCTGAGTACCATCAAGATAACGCTTCTTGTCTTCTCAAGCGACTACGCACATATAATCCAAGCTTGTTAACTTGCCGCTAATAGTTAGTCGCTCCTCTGATGTATGTTTGACCTAGCTTAGCCTTCTGACAATTGCTCGGAGCCCACGGAGCTTTCTGGAGTACCTACCATGATCGTCGCGGCAACAAAGCATTACCGTAAGCTGAGACGAACGAGGATCGCAATTATTCTGCTACATTACATGGATTCAAGATCCAGAGCTTGGATGCCGTCAAAGTTGCTATGCATTTGGTACTAGATGAAGCGGTCTCAATTGACAGTGTCTGGGTAAGTTCCACTTACGTTGTGCAAGGCAGTGTAGGTTGCATAACCATCGAGTCCATTAATTGACCCTACACGAATGTTGTAATCCGCATCCTCATATCACACCATGAGACATGAAAAGCACGGTTGCATCGCGTGACCAGATTCCTCTTTGAGACTTGCTGCCACCACAATTGTGGCGTCAAGCTGAAATTCTATGCTCAGCGCCGCCCTTGCAGTAGTGAATCCTCAGCTGAACGACTCATTACTTCAAAAAAATGCAACGTGGAGAGAGACATCATACTTCTGCGTTGCGGCGTTGTTGAGGATTCGTTCCTCATTTCTAAAACCGGGTTCTTGGAACTGAATGAGTCAATACCAACTCCTTTGGTCCAATGGATGTTTCCATTCCCAATTTCCATGTCGCCAATGTCAAAGAAGATTCCACAATTCGAGCTAAGACACAAACTCTGCACCCCTGGCGATGCTTCAACTCCCAGATCCACTTCACGATGTGTCCACAATGAGGGCTCCAGCCCCCAAATGCACTCAACATGAACGTCGCAACCAGGCGCTCGACTCAACGCGAAGCATTTCTCCAATATCACTGGTCTATTAGTCTAGTTGGTTAGGACGTCGGATTCTGATTTCAAAATCAGTCCCTTCCGTAAGCCCAGGTTCGAATCCTGGATGGACCTTTCTTTTGTCTCCGGTGACGATGAATTGCACTGGGCGAACTTTTTTGGGATCCATAACCCTCATGGCATAAACTGAGCATCGAAATTTGAACAATACGATTATCCATAGTCTGAGGCCGGGTCAGGGGTAAAACACGGGGAACTACGCTTGTGGCTTTTGTTTTGTGCCATTCGGGCCGTGGCGTAGGATAGTTTGCGCGAGTTGAGATCGTAGCGCGGCCGAAGGTTGTCTGGGGAAGGAGCAGGTCCCTCCATTGCTCGGCCTGCACCGTCTTTCAGAACATTACGCTAAGCTTCTTCTTTGTACGATGGCTTGACCTCGAGAGCTTCCGATAGGCCCGAATGGGTAGCTTTACGAAGGCTCCATTGAGCTGAAATGCGCTCAAGTACCTAGCTCAGCCCTAGATGTGGTTGAGGAAGTTGCGGATTGCGGCCCGTACTATTGATCCATGTCAAAGATGGTAAACATGCTATGACCTCTGGTGAACATCAAGCCACGGAAGCCAGTGACATTGTACTATAAGGAGTCTGGGGTGCTCAAGTGGTAGAGTAATCTCGGTGATATAAGTCTTGGCCAGATCATCTCGACAGCGATCCCTAATCTAATCTTCCGATGGCCATTTTCTGTTCCTTGCTGCTTTTGTCATGAATCTTCGAAGAGACTTCAACGAGGATACTGAACAGGCCCTGGGACCAGCTCTTTTCTCTTTCAACTCTTTGACGACCTTGTGCGAAGACGAAGCCAATTGCAAATATGGTGGCGATGCCAAGGCCACGCCAATCTTGAATTCGTCTTCAATATCGGAATCCAGACTAAACGAAAGTAGTGATGGAAGGATCTCTACACATTCACCTGTAAGCCTTTGTGGATCGACAGACACGCGCAGTAACTGCACTGGACTGACGATGATGTCTTGTTTTAGGTGACTTGGGATGGGCCGGAAGACCCAGAAAACCCCAAGAACTGGAACCGAAGACAGAAGTGGACTGTCAGTACCATTCTGGCAAACACCAAGAAATTAAGCATAAGCTGATGGAAACTATAGACATCTTTGATCATATCATCGTTCGCGTTCCTATCTCCTCTGTCCTCATCGATAGCCGCCCCAGCGCTAGGACCGATCAGCCACGATCTACACATCACCAATGAGGTGGAGCGCCAATTGGTTCTCTCTATATTTCTCCTCACATACGCACTGGGACCTTTCGTATTGTCACCTTGCTCGGAGATATGGGGCCGAACGCCAATTGTTCGAGTTGGGAATTTGGTCTTCATTGTCTCTACTGCTCTTTGCGGGTTTGCAGCCTCCAAGGAGCAAATCCTAGCATTTCGCTTCCTTGCTGGGATTGGCGGCAGTGCGACGATAGGGGTATGGATTTCTGTTTCGGTAACTAAGGATTGAAATATGCTAAAAACTTGACTAGATGGGCAGT